TTGTTTCCTGGGGACAAAAATGTCGTTGGTTGGAAATCGCATTTCCTATATTGCATATCGAACTATCTAAAAACCCTATAATAAGGGCCCATAAATATATATATATATATATATATACTTCTATATACCATTCACAACACAGAGTGCATAGTACGAAGCTGAATATCGATCCGTTTACTCTTATCACAATTTTTTTACACGTATATATATATGCACGCATATATGTATATTTATAAGAATGTGTCAGAGAAACGGATTCAAAGCCTCAATGTAACAACGCACAACCCATTTTTATACAACCTGCGTGCATCAAAGTACTTTATCATCTCATAGTTGAAGCTTATATATGTGTGTGTCACTGTGTGCTCTGAGCAAATTCAATAATGTTAACAAAAATATTACATACTTCGCCGAAATTAAGAGAAAAAAAATTTTTCAAATTATTTAATAATTTAATAAATAATATCTTGGGCACAAATAATAAGTTGCTTTCTTGTCTTTTTTTATCTGAGCAGGTGAAGCAATGTAAAAGTATAGTGATAACATACAAGAATAAAATTATAATATATATTAATTGAATTGAATCGACTCTACTGCTACGTCAATTATCTTTTTTTCATTTCACAGAAATTAAATACAGCAAACTGAACGTTGACATTGAAATTTTGCGCGTATGCATGAAACACAGTGTCTTTGTGTTGCGTAAAATGTCCAATCGCTCACAATTACAGTAAAGATTTATTCGCAGCTCTAATATGGTAGCATTATTCAAAATATGTATAATGTGCTCTATTTTCATCTTATTTAAATATTAGAGAATTAGGTGCGCTAGTGATTATTGAAATCTTATTATTGCACGCGATGCAAGCAAGTTATTACATCTCGCGCATCTCGTAGGCTGCTATATGCCGGATGATTCACTTCTATTCATCTCATTTCTTTCGACAACATCATAATAAAAGAACGTCTAACAGACTTTCCTAGTATGCAATCGATTTTTTTCTTAACTAGAATCTTACATCAATCTAATCGTCGTCAAAAAATGCTGCTTTCGAAGTGAGACACCGTGAATTACTCTGTCGTACGGTTTATTGTACTTGTTGCAACTCATATGATTTGTACAGTTATCTGCCCGTTTTTTTCTTTTTTTTTTTCTTCCTTTTTAGTCGCTGTTTAGGAAAATTTGATTTTTGCGAATCAAAACGCGTTAGCCAGTAAGTCGTAGACACAGTTGTAGTTATTAAAGTGTAGCTATTAAAGTGATGCAGAGGCAAGTTTGTGCCGAAGGTGTGCCAAAGCAATATTATTCGCATTCCTCGAATAATCGCATCAAGACTAACTGTGAAAAATATCGATAAAATCTAACATATAAACGATATCTCAATGTATACTATTACTACGATATTAAAACGGATATTCTTCCATATCCCTCCAATTCTCGAGATTTTTCCACAGAGAGCACATAACGAGCACATATTTACAAAGACAAAAAAATGTGAGATATATCTACACATATATTTATAATAAATAAAACAAAAAAAAGAAGAGATTTTTCACGGAGATTCCTAGAAAGGAACTTTCAACGACTTGTGCACACCTTAAAACGGCAGTAAATTTGTCATATCATACATACCGTATGTACGATTCGATTGCTTAAACGATAAATGAGCATTAAAAAAAAATCTTAATACTCACACATGTGTGCTATTCACTCATTGCGATGATTTTCGAAAAAGTAAAAACAATTGTAAAATATATCTTTCTTTTTTTGATAATATCGATTATTATGATTTGTGATTCTCTTTTCGAGTTGTTTTAAATTATATACCCCCTTAGAGGGTTACAGTCTTACTACGATTCTTTTGGCTCACAGGAGTTCCACTTCTTTTAAGCTCGATCACTATGAGCAATCATTATCTCGTCGAGAAACTATGCGAGAAAAAGAGAAAGAGAAAGAGACAGAGACAGAGAACGTCCTGTAGTAAACATCTCCAAAAAATCTATTATCTCATCTCGCAAAGAAATCTGATGTGAAGTCTTACTCTGGGTTTTGAACACTTCATTGTTGGGCGTCGTACATCAGGGATCGAACAATAATAAAATTTTTTTTTCAATTTCTTCCGTTTCGGCACAATAAATTTTTCGTTTCTATAAATCTAAAATCATAATATTTATTTTGCAAGGAAGATATATCTCCCGGTTCTCGAAAATGAGCTTTATAATCGATCTAAATTACACTTTTTTTCATCACTGTATATAAAAATCTTATTTACTTAAATTTCATCCTTCATTTTTCAAGAATAACGATGATTTTCTGCGAATATCTTAGAAGAATTCTTAAAATCGCATTGCAAAAACTCTACGAAAACCCTTTTAGAAAAAACCCGGTTCTTTCGTTCGATCTCTGATTGTAACGGGAAGATCGAGAAAACTAGTGGGACACTCGATGCTATCGATGAACTCGAAATAACCCGAAATTCCCAGCATATTCTCCTTTCGCCGTTAAATCGCTAAATAGTCTTGCATCTTAGTGTATCGACTTCGTCGATCATTATTTTTTCTTTTTTTCTTGTTTTTTTTTTTTTTAAACAAACTCGAGGCCTTTCCGATAAATTCGGTTGCTTATGTTCGAAACGACGTGAAAAACTGCATCCAATTTACTTACTTTAGAGCGGAGCGAGTCTAAGCTAAACGAAAAACGACGCTAAAGCCGTCTAGGTTGCACAACGCTGTTGTTATTGAGGCGGGTGGTCGTCTGATTGTTGAAGTTCTCATCTTGCGGTACGTGCTCGGTGCGCTCGTCGAAAAATCCCGGATTCAGAATGATGTTGGGAACGAGTTCAATCACCTCCTGCTCCTCCAGCTGCGCTGCAATTTCGGAACGGAGATTAATTTTCATTGGCCTGGGCCACGGACCTTATTAGCTTCTACCCTCTCCCTTCACCGGTTTTTCTTTGTCAGGTATCGAAAAACATGTCTTTTACATCTCGGAATTTTGTTAATTGTGTGTATAGTCTTCTCACATAATTTCCAATTATTTTATTGACAATCTTTGTTTATTTGTAACAATGTGATTCTGATGCCAATCGTTTGCCTGACAAATGGACGTGCTACCCTTGACCTACCTCAAGATTGCCGAAGATTGGTCTTATCGGTTACTCAACTAGATCATAAAATGCTTTCTATGACTATTATAATATCTACTATTCATTGCACTAGATTATTATCGGCAGGCATTATTGTATCTCATTAACATTATACAGTACATTATAAGTAACATCTAATCGGAATAGCAAGAAAAAATATACGTATTCGTAAAAAAGTTAGTAACCAGACAAGTGAGAATCTGCGGCGAGAAAAATTCCATCGAGAAGTTCAAGATTTCATTCCAGTGAGTGCTATATATCATATAAAAGATAGAAATGTTAAATAGATTAATATTTGAGTGCTCATTTTTAGCGTTCGGTGCGGCGGCTCGAAAAGTGTTGTATTAATATAATTGATGAGGAGATCTGTTTAAATGCTTATCATACTTGTTAGATGCTGAACCTAATGAAAAGTTTGCAAGTGCTTAGAGAGTATATAGAAACGAGATATTATATAAAAGTACTGATAATTTGGAAGAATATGGCTGTGTATGTCGCGTAATAGAGAAAAAGCTAAAGATCAGAGCCATAGATATAAGTCAGCTAGCCGGCTAAGATTGCTAATATTTCTGTTGGATAAATAGTGAAGAATATATAGTTCTTTAGCTAATTTGCACGAAGGCTTCTATGAAGGAGAGAACAACCCTCTGAGAGAATCGTGCTTCTCAAAGGAATGAGCCATAAACGGTACGATCATCACCAGCGGAAAAAAGTAGTAGTAGTAGTAGTAGTAGCAGCAGTAAAGAGACAGAGTAGAAGCGGAGAAGCTCTTACGGTATGGTTACCAGATAGGAAATGCTTACAGGGTGCCTTGCACTCGCGATACAGTAGGTAACAAGTACCTAAACCAAGAATCATAAGTGTGCCCATCACAATACCTACGGCTGCCACCCAGACACGCGTATCAAAATTCTCTACGCCGGCTAAAAGATGTCGGGCGAGTTCTGAAAATTAGTCGCATAATATAAAGATATATTAGTTTTTAGTTCAGATACTGTACAAGAAACGTTTAAATAGAAAAAGTGTATCTCTTATAATTTCTAAAAGACACATTATACACATAGAATATCCTAAAACTCATAAAAATAAATAAAAATAAATCATCACTCATAAAAAAAAAAAGATGTTTTTTTCTTAAAAGAGAGCTACAAGACTTTTAATCACTCTAAAACTATGAATATCATGATATTCATGTAAGCAACATACTTTTTCTTTTTAATTTTTGTATTTTTATGTAATTTAGAATGGCAGCAAAAGAGTTCCATGACAATATACAAAGTTTAAAACTTTATCCCAGTAAATAGATCTCTATAATACGATATAGCCGTGCGATTTAATTATATATTATAAGAGCAATTGCAACAAAATACCCAATTCTTCTACGCTGTGATGCGTATGACCCTCGACCTCCACAATCTCTCCTCTTCCCAACTGATTGGTTGCCCACACTCGAAATGAGTATGTAGTGTTTGGCACCAAATGATACACGTCGATTTGTCTCTTTAAAATAATGAAACACTGGTTAGTCTTAGTTTGATTAGTTTCTTTTTATAAAGGATGGAATAACTCTGTAATGCTATGTCACAAAGTTTCATTCTTACATATATTTTTTATCAATATCTTTATATATATAAATTTCTTAATATAAAATAAATATGCACATATAATGTTTTTCAATAGTGTTTCAAATAATGTTATACTAAACACACTGTTGCAATAATTGCAATATTATATAACGTTATCGACTTATCTCGTCCTATCACGCGTTTTCCATCCCCGTTTTCTATTCTATGGTTTTAAATAATTTGGAATATTTACAGAATTTGGAGGAATGTGTGTTGGAATAATGGGCTTCCACTCTTCCGGTTCTTCGCCTGCAACTGGCTTCAAACGATATTCGGCAGTGAAGTCTATGATAGGGTAACCGCCAGTACCAGCCACTTCCCATAGAATGTTAGCCAATATCGTGGATGGCTTGACCCACACATTGTGCAGGGCTGGAGGAGGTGCTAAAAGTATTTTTTCATTAAACTTAGAATCCATAACTAAAGTTTTATATTATTAAATTGTTCAAATTTTCCAGAACAAATCTAAAACTCGAATAATTTACAGCTGATATCTTTTTAATAGACAGAATTTGAAATGTCGCTATTTGTTGTACGTGATTCATTCACAATATTGCAAACAATTGCACGAACGTACTTCTAACTTCCACGTTGATTCTGGCTTTCACAGCATCGCGATCGTCGTCCAGGGTGCACGAATAATTGCCAGCATCATCCACGCTGACGTTCAATAGCTTCAGCACGCCATTTGGCTCGACCTTCAGCCGTTCAATCTGTCCATCCTCTCGTCCTTCTCTTATCCACATCACTCTCGCATTCGATTCTTCGGAATGCGAAAGAATGCTTTCGTCGGCGCAAGCCAGCTGCAGGTCTCTACCCACGTCCACGGCAATGTGCCGCATCGGTACCACGGCCCCTATATCCTGCCATCCTGCAAATTCATAAATAAATGTCGTGAGATTATTCATACTTATTGTATGGTTCTATTAAGACATATCAAGAAAATTGACTTGTGAGTTTGAATTGTATACTAGCTAGCAGAAATCTGAATTTGATTCCTTTCTCAGAATAAATTTATAAGCGATGTGAATGTATATGAATAGATTGATAAACAAATTTATTAAGCCTTCTTAGGAATGATTACTCTGTTAAGCACAAACAAGTAAAACATATTAAAACGATCCCAATAGAGATATAACGCAAGAGAAACATAAGTTATGTTTAATAAAGACATTAAAAACCTAAATTAGAAACTGTATTTTCTAACTATACTTAATGTTTTAAAGATATATGTTTATAGAATTGTGCTCTGAGATTGATTCGTCTCAAGCAGCAAAATTCAAGCACAATTGAAGCAAAATCATAACGCAATAACTAGCTAAACCAAATACAGACAGAATATCTCGTAACAAATTCCAGTCAGAATTTTTAATCAAACTATAGTTAGATAGAATAACTAAAAAAGTATTACTTTGTTTCAGTTGCATTTTCCGCGCTGTTATTTCCTTTTTTTCTTTCTTTAAAACGTGAATATTTACATATACATATATACAATTATCTTATTGTAAAAAAAGTGCATAAAAATGTAACTGAAAGGAATAGACTTATAGACGTTCGTGTGATTTTAATCTCGAACGCTTTACAAAAAATAACATAATGATATGTAATAACGAGTCTCGTCGAGGACGCGGCAGGTGATTCTACCTGTACTCTCTACCAATACTTATGCGACGGTGACGCAAATGGCAATAGCAACGGAAACGATGCAAACGACGGAGAGCAACAACGAGATAGTATCTTTACATAACTCGACCCTGAATTGTAACGATCGTCGACGCTAATATGTACTATAGCCGGACATGGATCGCATGATCGTCGTGAATAGGATCGCGACGTTATTTCTCAATCCCGGATGCATGTATCTCTCTCTCTCTCTCTTCTTCGTGGTTATAATTCGGCAAAGTACTTACTTGCCAGGAAGAGTATCAGCAACGGCAACAATTTGCGTTCATCCATTCTGCCATAATAAGACGAGCGAGCGAGCGCGCGCGATTCCCTGGTGAAGCGTTATTTGTATTACGAGACTCTTCTCGACCGCATTTCTCGCCGATCGATTGCTCTCGCGTGCTTCTTCTTCGCAGCCGGAGATTGCCGGAGATGCGTCACTTATTGTTAGCGTCGGTCGCTACCGCTGTCAAACATCATCGCGGTCCGTCCGCCGTTCGTTCTTCCACCGTTTGTCACTCTAATAATGTCACCAATACACACTACGCACCGCTTGTCACCCGTCACGCTCCGCGGAACACCGCCCGTCGCCCGTCACCTGTCACCCGTCCGGCGCGCCTCGCTCATTTATTGAGTCGCGCTGGTGGCTCCCCCAAGCGGTCGACCATCTGTCGGTGTTATCGTTTGCTTTATCATCTGTCGAGACGCGATCAAAGACCATATGGAGTGTCTCGCCATCTTTCCCACCGAGTTATGACAACGATTACATATGCGTGGAAATCTGCATGGATGCAGGATGTATGCAACGAAAATGATGAAAGTATCTGTAAGTTTTGATAAATGTTTTGAGTATCGAACAAATATTTAATCAGATTTTTTTTAACTTGATTTATTTTACGTGGTTTCTTTTGCAAAATTTAAATTTACGATGACTGACAACCAGCCTAGTAGAAGGAGAAGGAAGAAAAATCCAAAGACAGAACCTTATCAAGAGCTAGTGAACTATTTGAAAAAAAGGTAACAATTAACGCGATTAAATGTCTATTGAACAATGTTAAAGATTGATAATTGTGTTACCAATCAAATTTGTGTTAGCCCGGGCGAGCTAAGGAAAATACGTAATCTTGTCAACAATGAAAAGTATGAAAGAAAAGGGGTATTGACTCGTGGAATGCTGCACAAGTTGGATGAACAAAATGCATTGTTTTCTCTGAATAGAGAATGTCCTTCGCGGAATAGTGTAATCATTATAAATGACAGTGATAATGAAACAAGTGGAAAAGAAGAAGAAGACGCTTCGCTCAGCATCATCGAGTGCAGTCCAACAACATTACCCTCATCTTCACAGCGAAAATCGGGAAAGAAAGAATTGCGGAGATCTCTTAGACAAAACAAAAACAGATCGTCAATAACACTATCAAATTTATCCATTATACAATCATCGAGTACACAATCTTTAAGCAATGGAGAAAATATAGGTGAATCAATTTTTTTCTTTTTTTTTTATTAGGAAGACTGTGTAATAGAAGAATTTATTTAATTTGATGCTATTCTAAATCATACTTGTCACATTTAGCACCGTCACCAAAAGAAGACGATGTGATTGAGTTATGGTCTTCTCTCAAGAATTCAACATCAGATACATATGAGAGAAGTACGACGTATTGTGATGATGAGACAAATGAAAGAGTGAATTTTGTGATAGATACAAAGCCAGACCAGAAAAATCTAGAATATCTAAAGATGGATACAGAACCTGTACAGAAGAGACAAAAACTGCGTCACAATTTTGATAAAGTTACATTGTCACCATACAAGAAACGAAAAAAGAGACAATATTCAATTCTCTCACAATCTAATGCACAATCCCGTGAAAAAAAAGCAAAGACAATTGTATCTGGTGAACAAAATAATCCAGACTCAAGTCATAAATTAAGAGAGATAATTGTCGATGGATGCAATGTGGGGATGGCGTATGATCCTTTTTTTTATCTATTTTAATGACAAATTTCCTTAAGCTAATGTTATGTGTGTGAATAATTATATAAAATTATAAAAAGTATACACTTGCAATGTAGTTTTATACATTTTGTTTTAGTTGTTATTTTAAGCGAAATACATTTTATATTTTAGCCATTCAAATCATCGGATGTTTTCTGTAAAAGGCATCCAATTAGTGGTAGATTATTTTACAATAAGGGGTCATGCTGTGAAAGTTTTTTTACCAAACTATTTTCGAAAATTTACGTTACTTGAAGAGTTATATAAAAAGGGTGTAGTTGTTTTTACACCTAGTCGCAACGTCGAGGGCAGACAAATTACACCTTATGATGACCGGTAAATTTGCCATACATCTTTATTATATAAATAGAAAAACTATCTGTGCATAATAAGATATCTTTAATCATTTAGTTCATTTTTTTGTAATTAACCATATATAATATGAAATCTATTATGTAAATACATATTTTTACAAAAATGTTAATTATCAATTACAATACTTATACAAAAAACAACTTAATCTTGCTAAAGAAAAATAAGTTTTTACATATAATATTAAGTTATAACAGATCTTTGCTTTTTTGAAATTATATATTTATTTATATTTTATATACAAATAACTCTTATAATTTTAAAAGTTTATTCTTATTTATTATAATGCTTCAAAGCCATAATGAAAAGTTGGATTGCAAAGCCTTGCCTCTTTCATTGCAGGTTTATTTTGGAATATGCGACAGCGTGCAAAGGAATAGTGATTTCCTCGGATCAATATAGAGATTTGTATGAGGAGAAGCCAGAATGGCGCGATACAATCTTGAATCGTTTGTTGACGCCAACTTTCGTCGGGGATTACATCATGTTCCCAGAAGATCCATTAGGCAAGTCTGGACCTAATCTGGAGACATTTTTGCGACATTGATAGAATACTTTGTTATAAAATGTATTCTGAGTAAGCTAAGTTGATGATATTGGACCAAACAATTCAGTCCTGTTGTCAAAGAAAAATTACATTTTTGATATTGTAATTTTATCTCAAATACCTATACTCTATCTGTTTTTCTTTATGTTTGCTCAATATATATCTTTTTACGCTAAACTAATAAATTAATAACTATATAATAACAATGTTATTTTTTTTATCATAATAATATTCTTTTTGTAAAATATCCATGTATTCATGGATATCCATATTATGAGATGTATATGAATTGAAATACAGAGAGAATTAACAGATAGAGGTAAGATTAAGTTGTTTTGTATATAAAGCACATGAATAAAATATATTGAGATATATATTATTTTGGTAAGTAAATATATTTATACAATAGGGATAGTACTATAATACATTGTAATATTATAAAAAATAGTTTACTTTTTATCAAAACATATTGTTTAATTATTTAATTACTACATATTGTTTAAGTATTTAATTACTACAAAACACATGCGAAAAAATTTTGTTTAAAAAAAAAAATGATTATAAATCTTATTACACACACACACTCAGATCACATACAGTTTTTTCACAGCATTTTTTTTGTAAGAAATGCAAAAATTGCATATATATATATATAAAATTAAACTTATAGAAAAAAAAGGGAAAATAAATATGCAGAGTTGGCATTATAAATTATTGTGTCTATTCTACGCTGGTCTCCAGCAAAATTTCCCTGATTGACGGACGAAATTCATGCTTTCTTGCGCCGATTCACGTGCGAAACGCTGCAACGTGTTCTCGCCGTCGCCGTTATGACATGCATTCGATAATACTGCTTCGTGTTCAAAGGCGGAACTGACAGCTAAAACAAATACAAATAGGATTCTATATGCGTAATTTTTTTTATAACGTTTAGTATTTAATAAAAATATTAAATATATTGCAAATATTATATGTGACTTTTATATATTAATAACAACATTTAAACTTGTACATGAATGAATGAATGAATGTGTGTTGAATATACTTAAATTCAACACATTCATCTAATTATTAGATAAAGTTATAAATCAAATAAGTACACTCTTAAAAAAATATATAAAATATAAATATATTACACTTACTTGATTTGGTGAATAATTTTCTCAATACGTAATCATCGTCCGTAGTCGAAATCGATTCTTCCTTTTCATTAGAATGTCCTAGCCGGCGACCTATCAGACAAGAAACACGCTCTCCCTCAAACATTGCGGAAATATTTCTCTTGTCCGAATGTGAATCTCTTCTATGCTTCTTACGTTTACAAACAGACGGTACATTATGTGAGGTGACTTTATCGTCATTTAAAATGGATTTATTTTTCTTTTCCATGGTATTATCATTGATAGATTTTATTGTAACTATAGTTTGCTGATTATTCTCGTTAAATGTATTCTTATTTTCTACATTGCTACTCCTTTCGATATCCGCATCTGAATTCGTATTCGAATCTTCATTATATCTGGCTGGAGATTTTGATATGCTCATTAGATCGCAAGATAATGTTTTGTTCACAAATATATCATTTTTCGTAGTGAGAGTCTCGGTGTGTTTCGAATTATTATTTTGTTCATCATGTTGTTTTCCCTCGCAAATACTATTACTTGCATACTTATTTTTGTCGCATGTTAATCTTACATTCGCGCTTATTTTTTTGCTGATAGCTGAAGCTAATCTTTTCATCTGTTCGATCTTACTGAGAGAAAAGCCGATAGATGCGGGCATTAATTTGGATTCTCTAAATAAATGGTCAGATTCTGAAGACTTGCCATCTATCGGCTCGTTTAGATTAAATAACTCTACCAAATCTGTTGTTTTGAATAATCGACGCTGGCGTGGCTCATCAAGAACTTTGTTCGAAAGTAATATTTTAAAGATCTGTCTATGATACATCTGAAAAGAAAAAATTGTAAAGAGCTCTCTTTATTATATTACATAAAATAATATAATACAATAAAAAGAATATATATGTAGAACACTGTTTTTAAAATATGTTTATTCAAATTTTATATAGAAAAAGATATTTCAATTATAATAACTAATTATATATAACATTTTTATAAGATTCGTAAAATATGATAATTAGTTGTTGCTAACCTTTTCTTCAATCGTACCAGCGGTAATTAGCCTGTAAACAGTGACTTGTTTATTCTGGCCTATTCTCCATGCGCGTTCCCTCGCTTGAGCATCCGTAGCTGGATTCCAATCCGGATCGTAAATGATCACTCGATCCGCACCGGTTAGATTTACTCCCAGACCTCCTACGCGTGTGGTCAGCAAAAACACGAAATATGACGAGTGCTTCTCGAAAAAAAAAAGAAATTTGTTAAAATATTATAATAGAAATGTTGCTTATTTCCATTACACAGAGATCAATCTTTCCACGAGCTTAATGCATACAGTATTAAATGTGTGAATCGTTTGTTGTCGTTGAGACATAGCTGTTGTCCCATCCATTCTCAAATAGGTATATCCTTCGTGTTGCAATAGACACTCCAAAACGTGAAGCATCTACAAAAAAAATATAAGTTGCAATAATTTTATTTTTTATATTACATAATTAATAATATATTTAATGACATTATATTTTTATCTATATTTTTAATTTTAAAAATTGCGAAAATTAAAGTATACTTTTGTAAAAAATTATATCATTCTAATGTGAGACATAATATTTGACTATCAAAAGACATCTTCTTTATATGAGCATTTTAACTTTCGAAATCTGACGAATATTTTTCAAATATAAAATCTATTTGTTTGTAATGTCCAGAAATATCATTTACCTGCCTTCCCTGAGTGAAAAGTAACACTCTATGTTGTTGTTTATGCCAAATTTTCAAGAGAGATCGAACCACATTCATTTTTCCAGCGCGTTTCCAGTAACCGAATTCCTCTAACTGTTTTTCGGACAAAGTGATATCTTCATCTGAATCCTTAAATAAAAGCAAGATTTGTAAAGTAAATTGATATTGTAAAGAATTAATTAATTCTTATTATAATACAGTTGATAGGGGGAAAGGGGGTTCTTACGAATTCTCTGGTGTACAGAAACAAGTCTGGATGATTGCATATCTTTCTCAATGCTGACAATGCGATAAGAAATCTTGCTCTGTATCTTCCAGTATCATGATTATTTTTCTCATGTAAAATAAGGGACACATCTTCCGAACATAGATACTTTTTATATAATTTTTTCTGCTCGTCCGTTAAGCTACAAAATAACACCTGAGGAAGAGAAAGTAAAAAGAAATAATTTATTTTTATTCAATTAAGATATATGTATATAAATAATGATAATTCCATATATATATGTATAAAAGACAAAGTTCACAAAATGTTTTCCCAAAAAATAATCTGTAATGATAACAAAAAAAATAAATATATCTAGAAGAAAGATAAAAAAATGAAAGAATAATAGTATGTGTCCATAAAAAAAGATAGGAAATTTATTTAGAAAAAAAATGCAAAAACCTGCTCGTTTTTCTCCGGCAAAGTGAGATGATGCTTCACATCGTTCTTCGTCCTTCGGAGCATGTAGGGCATGATGGTGTCTTTCAGCATAGTGGCTACTTGGAGAGCCATGGCTTCCTGTAATGGCGTAGCATTTGCATAACCACCACGTGTTATGGGAGTTGCGCAATGTTCCAGGAATGCAGGCAGAGTGCCCAATTTACCAGGTAAAATAAAATCGAACAATGACCACAGCTCCTTCAGAGAATTCTGCATCGGACTGCCACTCAACAGCAATCGATGCGGTGTCGAGAATTGCTTCACTGCACGGCTTACCTGCGAATCAATCGTTCGTTCTATTGGTTATTATGAAAGATATAATTTAATCGATACAAGCAATACTTGCATCTCTTTTACACACAGACAATTATTTGTTAAATAAGCTAATATCATAAAACAAATATAATAAATAAATATATATATAGAAAATACAAAAAAAAATGTATACTGAGTAATTTCTCCCAATCTTAACAATTAAATCACCTTTGCTTGCGGATTACGAATCTTGTGGCCTTCATCGAGAATAACATAATGCCACTGATTGGATACGAGCAAATCTTTGTGCCTGAGAACTCCATTGTAAGAAGTAACGAGTATTCCGCCGGTTTGCAAAGATTCTATCAGACTTTCTGGATCACCTGGATGAGAATATCATGAATATGATATGATTCTATTCTATTCATTTTTATAATTAATACACTGTTGAATGTTATTATTTGCTTCATATAAGAAGTATGAATACAAATAAATATAATGGTATAATTAATATATGTATAAAAATTATGAACACAATAAAACTTATGAAATTGAAACAATTCCTCCAAATCTTCTTTTTATATTGTGACAACTTCACTTTTATTCCGATAATAATGTTTTCAAGAAGAGCATTAAAATTTTTTATTAAAATTCTTTAGTAAAATTAATTAACAAATTCTTAGATTATTATAAAATTGATCTTTTCTGATGCATTTACACTTACCATTGTAACCCCCAGAATGGTGAAGTACAACGACTCTAAAGAAAGGCCACCAATCGTGAAAATGTTTCACCCACTGCTCCATTAAAGTAGCAGGGCATACAACTATAGTCGGTCCTAATCCCCTGTATCTATCAATCATGCATGCAATATTTATTTTTCATTACATATCTTTATATATAGATGATAAGATAAATAACAAAAACAAAATAATATAGACATGTTCCTTTTTTCCTTTTTTTCGAGAAAATAATATTCTATAGATCTTGTATGAATTTTACATCATGTACAATTAAAAAACATGTTTAAGTTAAGATAAATATATTTAATACCTTCCATTGTGAGAGAGCAATTCACTACAGTCCAAACCGGCGAGAAATGCGATAACTTGCACAGTTTTTCCTAATCCCATCTCATCACCCATCAAGCCGCCTAACTTACGACTATGTAATTCCCAGAGCCATTGAACGGCGACCCTTTGATACCTGCATAAATAAAACATTTATAGATAGAAAAAATGTATTATTAAAAAAAATCATTAATCATATATTAATCCAAATTGTCAAATAAAATTAAATATTTATATATAATAAATAGTAAATAAATAACTAATATAATAAATTTAAATCTCTTTATCCTTCCAGTTGTATTAAATATACGTACTATATATATATATAATTACTCTTAATGTATATATTTTACCTGTATAAGTTTTCCCAAATACATTGTGGCACTTTAAAGATATCATTAATTTTGTGCATTGCTTCATCTTTAGGATAGCATTCTGTTTCCATTCTTTGCTTGAATATTCGACTATCTCCGTCGTCTTGAGCTAGACATATTTAAAAAAATAAATGAGATTAATATATATACAATAATAAAGAGTAACACAAAATAATAAAAATAACAAGATACATGTAATAAGAAATAAAATAATAATAGGAGTAGAAATATGATAAGTTAAGAAAAATACCAATTTATTGTGTAGTAAACAATACATACTTCTCTTTGTGCGTATGTTTCCTGATTTAGCCGAAGTTTTCCTCTTTTTGGATACACATGATACTTTATATTCTGCATCTAAAAAATATTTTGTTATTTTAATAAAAATACAAATATATATTTCTCAAGTTTTTCTTTTATCAAACATATCAAATATTATTATTACCTGAGTCATCATCACTAGGAATGTATTCGCTTTCAGAACTATTGTCTACAATTCCATTTGTTATGTTTGAGCAACCTGCCTCATCTATAATTTGCAGAATATCATTTTTTCTATTCTCAGCTTTAGATTTTTGGTATCTTTTATTTGTCTTTGTGTCAATACTGGATAATTTTGTTTTTTTGGCTGGTACTAAATGATCTTTGTCACAAGGAATCTTAGATACTTTCTTCAATTTTCTTTTTTGCTCCGCAAGAATAGCTTGCTGCTTGAAATACTTTTCAAGGTCTAACAATTGAGTGCCTTTATTGGTACTTCTAGAAATACAAAATATGAATATACTTTTTAATCTCTCTCTATATAT